GGGTTTTTTCCCCGCCGCGTGCCTCCTACTACTACTACTACTACTACTACTACTGCAATTACCACTACCACTACCAGTACCTACTACTACTACTACTACCACTACTACTACTACTACTACTACTACTCCTGTTGCAACCCTCAGTCCCATCCCACATCATGTGACTAAGGTACCCCGAAGGCTCGCCGACACATCCATCGCTGCCAGCTGGTCATGCCGTTGCGTGATGGCTATTGGTAGGGAATGAAGGAATGCGAAAGCATGTGGAAGCTACTACTTAGGGCCTTGGGCGTGAAGTTTAGGGTGTAGGGTGTGGAGAAGAAGATGGAAGTTGTTGTCCGGTTGGGGAATATATAGTGGCTGCTATACGAATCACGTCCACCATTCCCGAATATTAACCAGCAAGGTTGTGGCTGGGGCGTGTGTGACTGTGCTGAAGGCAATGCTGAAGACGCTGCGTTCACGTTTGGGGTCTTTTCAAGTGTTTTGGGTGTAGGGTTCAGGGTTTAGCATCATAGTTGTTGGGTATAGGGTTTCTCATATAGCCGCTTAAACAGCCTCTTTGCTTCCTGTCTCGCCTCCCTCTTTAACAAGTTCGCTGAGCTTGCCTCCTGGCCACCAGCATTGCTTAATCGAATGGTTGCCTTGTTGATGAAGACAAATGTGGCCAGGACCCTCGAAGACTCTCCACCCATCACTATCCTCCTGGGACCTTGTAGACTTGGGCCGGTCCCTCATCCAAAACTTGTGGCCTTACCTCCTCACGAAGTGCCGGGAAATGTCCTCGGGGAGTCGTTTAAGTGGTTGGCAATCTACCTCCAACTGTGCAATGAGCGAGGCATCCTCCAAGGTGAGCATTCGGCGTGTGACTTGACCAAAGCGTATAGCCTCCTCAAGCGTGACCGGCTGGAGCACATCAACCTTGCTCTGGGTGTGCCTCCCAAGGTTTTGCTCTACATAGGTCCTTCCTTGACATTTTGGAGCGTCATTTTCGTATCCAAGGCTCCGTGGGACCTTATAGCCTCATACATGCAAGCACAGCAGGACCTCCAGTCCACCACAGGTTTTTCTTACATTGACAGCTGGCTAATTCATAGCTACCAGGTTGCGAAAATGCGTCACAGCCGCTGCGTCGATGCGCAGATGCTTGAGCATGCTTGGTCAACCAAGATGAAACTTGGGGTTCTTCGACCTCCAAACCTTGCAGAAACGCCATTCAGACTCGGGGCGTCCAGAACAAACCATGCAACATTTCTGCGCACGTGGTCGAGCTTGGCATGGTTTTCTACTTTGATGCATGTCTTCACCATGATGGTGTATGGGACAGACTGGCAGAAGCCTTCGAAGGTTGACCTGCCTAGCAAGCCTTGATGCCCCTTTGGAGAGGAAAGCCTCGCTGCTGGTAATGGGAATCTGCCCTCTCCTCTTCCATGGCTGCGAGACCCAGCATTTCTCGGCGACCACTTTGAAATCCATCCGTGGTGAATGCAATTTTGCCATCGGGAGTGCGAATAGAAAACGAATGTGCCTTTTTGGGGCCCCTGTTTGCAAGCGCCACACCTTCCGAGCCATCCTGCACTCCTTGATGGCGACGGCCTCCCTTTTCCAACAGGACATCATGGACGTCAGGGACCTCAAGTGCAATGTTGACCTCAACCACCAACAACATCACATCCACGGACCCGTTACTTTGACCACATGGTCCTTTCAATACATCGGTTTTAAGACATTACTACCGGCCAGGTTACATAATCTTACATCTCAGCCCTTGGACTCCCCCAGTTTGGGCTTCGCCCAACTCTCCAGCCGTGGGCCACCACACCCGTCTTTTGCTTACGCGGCAGGAGCGTCGAAACCTTCACCTCCATAAAGGGCTGTGGTCAGCAGCGCCCCCCCTTTCCAAGGCTTACCGTACTGCTGCAATCACGACACTCGCTGCCAAGGCACATGCAGGCTGTGAGGATCCGGATGCATCCCCCGCCAAGCTTCCGAAAGAGTTCATCGTTACTGGACTGCCATCAGTTCATGACCCCCCAACAGTGATACCTGTGCAGAATTCGTGGCACCTTGTCCAGCACCTTCCAAGGTCCACATCTTCACAGATGGCTCAGCGAACCCTTCCCATGTTCTACCACTGACCTTGGCGGCTTGGCCGATTGTTGCCTGGGTTCCTCCCTGTGAATGGTTACTGATCCTGTGGAGTTCCCTCGCTGGGCAAGACCACTCAATAGTTCGAGCCAAAACCTTTGCCGTTCTTAATTGCTTCCGCTGCCTCTGACCGTGTATTGTCTATCGTGACAATGCTACAGACTGCGCCAGTTTCCGAACCCTGTTTTACCAACCTTTCCAGGCCCACCTGTGGTACGACAAGCAGGATTTTGACATTTGGTGCGAGATGCTGCATGGTTGGCAGCTCGCGGACCTAATTGGATCCGCATCCAAACAAAACCGAGGCCCTTTGACCCGTGTACCCCTGGTCTTTCTGCCGCCCAGATTTGGGAAATCTACGGCAAAAATCATGCAGACGGTCTAACTAGGAAGGCTCTTGCGTATCCTGCAAATGCGCCAGCCCCCGTCATGGCGCCATGCAGTTAAGGCTGGCAAACACTTCTTACTTGACTTCAGCTGAACAATTTTGGGACTTCCAACAAAAGGCAAGCAACCTGGTCATGTCTTCTCGTAAAACCCAAGAACCCCAAGCCCCTGAACATGACTTCATGTGGGATCCTCCGAACCCCCAGTCTGATGCTTGACAGCCCTTCTTTGAATTGCCGGTTGAAAGGCCATCCCCTTGTCGCCAGTTGGGCGATTAGCTTAAGCTAGTCCAGTACTATTACTCACTCCTGCACTGACCCCATCGGAACAGTATCCTTCATTGAGCTGCTCCGCTCTACGCTACTCTGATTCGCTGTAAGCGCTCAACAGGATATGCACAAATTTCGCACGGTCCCCTTGAAAGGTCCACCATTCAGCAACAAGGAATACGACACATCCCGGTCATACTACCATCTTTCCCCCAACCCAACTTCAAGTGCTATCCTGCCCAATGTTACAGGAAGCCCTGAATTTGTTTCGGCGGACTCCCATCCACTTGCAGTCCCGCAACGAAATGACCCCCGGTCCCGTCTGTCCAACTACCCAGTCTCAAACCAACTGTAGCAATCTTCGATCTCGTTTCCATCTTGACCAGTCAACTGAACCCCTCTCATCCTGCTAATTGCCGCAATTTTGCAGCTTACGTTTCCCTCCCCCTCCCTCCTCAGCCTCGACCTGTCCCGGCTGACGTCCGAGCTCAGTCTAGCTCTGCTTGTTTCAGCATTTACCAAACCCCCTTCGGGACCAGACCAAGCTTCTTGGCTTCCTAGGGAATTGGGGATTAAGGACCTTCGATGATGATAAAGCCACAATTGAGACCAAGTGGGTCACTGGCAGCCGCACAGCATGGCACTCAATCGATGGCCAAACGCTCGTCGAATATACCGAGCCAGATTCCAGTGAACCTGGGTTGCTGCTGAGGAATTAAAATGGTCTAAGGTTGAGAGTGTAGGGTTTACAGTGGAATATGATGAGCTTAATACCCCCCGGCCTTGTGGTCCTGTGGTCTGGGCTTTGTGGTTTTGGTTAGGCTTATAGAAGGCTTATAGTGTTTATAGAAGGTTTTCTGTAAGGTTCATAACTAGAGGGTGCACAAAGTGTCTAAAAGCGATATAAAGTTTTGTGCGGGCTTCTAGAGGTAGATGGTTTCTTGAGGGTTTGTAAAGATGCTTTATGGAAGGTTTATAGAGGTTCATACCTTTTAGAAGCAGTTTATGAGGGGCTTAAGAGTTGTCTGGAAGTTTTTCAGATCAGAAAGGTTTTGTGGAGTTTGTGTGGAGGCCTACATAGGTCCCCTTTGCGGCCTGTGGTGTGGGTTTGGAAGAGGGTTTAGAATTGTTTTGCTGCTGAGAGTTCATGGGGGTTTATGAATATGGCCCAAGAAGGCCTGTGAGGGTGGAGGGGGGACTGAATTGCTTTGCTGCTGAGAGTTCATGGGGGTTTATGAATATGGCCCAAGAAGGCCTGTGAGGGTGGAGGGGGGACTGGCAACACGGAGAAAAGCATACAGACTCAAAACTACCTCCCAATTTCGGGAGAGCCCCAAATGCTCATGATGCGGAAATATAGCGCATGATAAGGTTTCCTAGTTATGGTAGGTAACTTAGTTTGAGTTCCTTGACAGCTTCCCAGGAGATGACAGTCAATGGCGAACTCAATAAGTTGGCCTCCAATGTTGCCCTTGGCCGTGACTTTGCAGGCCTACAGAGATGTATTAGCTTTAGGATTTGTCGCTTTCGTTCTGTGACTTGGCAGGTGTTCACTACCGTGCCGATGGTGACGGTGGCATCCTTGCAGGCGAGGACTATGCAATCTCCTATTTGGCCGACAAGCTCAAAAGCTACAGAGAAGCGGATAAACAATATCAGCTCTTCGATGGGTGGGTTTTGCAGAAGTTCGACGGGACCGTTGTCAGGATCACCCACAAGGGTGCCGAGCCGCTCAGCAAGCATGATGTTTATTCCCGTGAAAACCAGCGGAAGGGTTGGCTACGACGACTGAGGGCAAAGTTGGCTCCAAAGGAGCATGATTGATTAGACGGGTGTGATGTCACACGCTCAAAGTTTTAATGGACTGAACATGACCTTAAGGGTCGTGTGTCTCTTGGTAGTTGCGACGACTGGTTGTGCGGAATATCTGCGGGAGTCAGAGACGAGCTTGGGCTCCAGCAATGACTTCAATCCGCATAAAATCTAACGAGCTTGCATTAGCATGTTTTTCTACTCGAAGCCGCTATGGCCATGTGATGTTTCTGTCAGATACTTACAACATGGGCCGTATGGTCCAAATTTGAGGGCCTCCGGGAGGGCGGTGGGCGCAGAGAACCCATACTATGCTGTGGATGATGATCCACATGAAGTTCCATGCCAATGCACATGCTGAGGCCTGCAGGCCCAGGGCATTCTCGGTTTGGGATTACCGAATGATGCATTCCCCGTACCTTTGTTGACCCACCAGCAGAGCCCCGACAAGCTTAACTGCTGATTATTCAAGCTGTGCTGAAAAGTTCTCTGAGAGGATCGGAGCTTTCGCACATCCATGCCAAGGGAGGAGCCGCTATTGTTGAGGGGACAGCCATGGGTTGTTCTAATAGTAGAGAGTCCCAGGTGGATGTAGTGGTGGATTTCCGAACGCGGAGCAAGATCGTGCTATCCTGTCGGTTTCTCACATGTCGAAATCCACTTTAAGAGGAGCTCCCAGTATGTTGAGAATTAGGAAAAATCCAAGCCCGAAACCCCAAGTGCCCCAAAAAACGCATCCAAAACCTTAAGAACTCTTAGACTCCAAGCCTTCTGAGGTCTTGAATGCCCACACATCTTGGGAACGTCCTTCTGCAGTGAGCATGGGGCTGGTGAAAAGGGTGCGCCTTTGGTTTTAAGGTATAGTCCCCCTTAGGTAGATAGAACATGGCTTTGGGTGTATTATAATAACATCCCCATATACTTCATACTCTATCTACTTAAGGGGGACCAGAAGGCTCGGGGGTTTAGGGTTTTGGGGTTTTTCCATTGTTGCTTGAGTCTGGTAGATGCTGCTTTGATGTGAACGCACCCAAATTATAACCAGAGTGTAACCTATTTTGACCTATGTCCGTACGCAATTGATATTATAAACAGCGCTTGCCTTTCATAATCTACTTGCAAGTTGGATTCGCGCTACATTCTGCATCATGAGGCGCGGGGCCTCAATCAAGCGATATCCTGTGACAGCGGATTAAGGGCTAAGGGTTCCGTGTTCAAGGGTAGTACCACATGCTGGAGACTCAGGAAAGAAAAGCGGCTGACACCTGAAGTTTAAGCTGGCCGTATATGGGAAATTACCAATATCATGATCTTGGGTTCCTTATATGGCTATGGCATAGGGGTGTAGGGTTTAGGGTTTAGGGTTTAGGATACCTCGAATAAACCTCGAAATTACATTTCATTAAGGCCCTGGTCTAGTGCTCCTCAGCATGCAGAACAAACTCGTCTTGCGTGTTCTCAACTCAGGATTTGGGCTTTCAGGGATTTGGGATTTAGCGGGGCTATGAGTAGCTGAGAAGGCAACTGCTACAGCAACGTCCTTTGAGGGACGGGGCACACAATCCTCTTATGGTTAGCCTTGAATCCCCCCTAAACCCTAAACCTAGGCCCTCAACCCTAAACCCCAAGCCCTAAACCCTAAACCCTAAACCCCAAGCCCTAAACCCTAGACCCTGAACCCTGACCCGAATCTGATCTACACGGTCAGCTACGTCGGCCTGAGTCAGGGCCGCTTCGATGCAACTTCACGGTTGAGGGTTTAGAGCTGGGATTTATACAAAGATTCATAGAGTTTAGGATTTAAGGATTAAGGGTTTAGGGTTTTCGGGTTTAGGGATACGGATTCAGAAGGTTCAGGGGGTAGTGGAGAATGAAACTTTAAGGACCCTGAACCCTGAACCCTAAAGCATATAGGCAGGGATGACATCCTAAATCAGGTCCATACTTCTACCCTTACATCATGAGGGGTTCGGGTTTAGGGTTTAGGGAAAAGAAGTATCAGCTCTGCAAAACTGACCCACCAGAGAGGATGCAGAGTGCCTTGTCATGTCGGGGTGTACTTACACTGCCTAGCTCTTCATTATTATTATTATTATAAGTATTATTAATATTCTTCGAATAGTACGTGAGGCAGGGAGAATCAATCCAAGTTACAAGCAGGTAGTATCTTATATAGGCCCTTATGAATCACGTTGTAGACAAAACTCGTGTCTCATGATATACCTGCCTATCAAACATGGAGACTCCAAGAGCCTGTGGGGGCCAACATCCCCCATACGCTTGTTCGCGTTTCAAAGTGAAGAGAACAGAGGATCAGGATTTAAATTTCGGTGGTGATGTGCCCCCGGCCCTGTGTGCAGGACAGCTGTGACCCTAAAGCCTAAACATTTGCTAAAAAGCTGAGCTGAAAACCGCCGCCGCACATCGTAGCTGTTGACCTAGAACTTCCTGCTTAGCTGCTGGTTAGGGTTTAAGGTTTAGGGTTTAGGATTTAGGGGTGTCGCAACCACTACTACGCCACCTTCAAAACCCAATCTGCCCTGAACCGTGCATCATTTGACGTCCTCGTGTCCTTCATGCTTAGCACGAAAAAGCGGCCAGTAGGGAAGGAGGAGTATATCTTTATATCATCGTAGTTCTATCGTTCCCCTACAACGGCCCCCATGTCATAATCCTTTACTCCCTACCCAGACCCCGTAAACGATCAAAAAGATGGAAGCCCCTAATAACCCCTAGTTTCCCCAATGTCGTGCTGGGTTAATTAGTAGTGTTTAGGGGTTTAGGGTGTGGGGTTTAGGGTTAATATTCATTTCCCAATCTTCCATTCCGGCTTCTCGCGATGGATCCCCAAGCGGCACAGCGGGTAGCCAAGCTCGATGAGGCAGGTTTTAGGGTTCGGGGTTTAGGGTCTAGGGTGGAAGGGTGAGGGTTTACCTCGGGTGTGGTTTGTGGGCTGTAGGTGAATGAACGGCCCAAAGCTCTTAAAGTCAAAAGGGCCATTATTCTATATCTTATGGGACTTCAGGCAGGTTGTAAAGTGTTTAGGGTATATAGTCCCCCTTAAGTACATGGAATATGGTTTTGGGTACATTCTAATACGATCCTCATATACCCCATATTCTAGGAGGCTATAGGGTTTCTGGTTGAGGGTGGAGCGTGCAGAGCTTAGGGGCAAACTTGCCGGTAGGCTGTCCCCTTGAAGGAGCCAGAAATAATATTGAGAATCCACTGCACCATCAAGGAACACGGAAGTGTATGGGTTTTACGTATAGTCCCCCTTAGGTAAATAGAATATGCGGTAAATGGGGATCTTACCCAAAGCCATATTCTATCTACTTAAGGGGGACTATAACCCCAATATATACCCTATTATAAAATAGTAGTTTTCATTTTCTTTTACATTATCCCTAATTAACCCGTATAAAACCC